TACATGTCATAATAAATGTACCGTTTGTATCCCCTGAAGTATTGACCAAAACCTGGGAAGAGATCAAATTTCGCCGCGATTTATGCCGGGCCACGTGCTCATATCGAGTTATACTAAGTTTCTAATAAAACTTGATAAATTCAGCTTTAAATACAAAATATATAAAACATTAAAAATAGTATCTGATTTGGTAACAGTATATGCCTTTAAAATGTTTCAGTTCTTTTGTGGACACTCTGTATAATGTCGTCCAGTAGAGTAGTTTATTCGCTTGATTGTTGCTAGCAGCCGCCAACAACGGCGTGCAGTCGTTCATTTAATCAGTTAATGACACGTTGCCCTGTGTGTGTCGCTAAATGGTGGCATTGTTCTGTTATGGCTCTACTCAAGTCTTCTACACTTAGTAGGGTTCAGACAGTATCGTACCAACCACGGAGGTAAAATGTAAATATGTATCTCACAATTATTTTTCGCGACTCTACTTAAGTAATCATAATTATTATCAATTCAAAACCAAAAGTATAGGAGGTTAATATATTAAATTTTAATTAATTATCTGGAGAAGTGATAAGTATTCAATTTGGTTAGAAATTGCTTTTATCTAAGTTTTGCATTTATCTAAGATGTAGGTCTGCTCCATGTGTATGAATTAAATTATTTTCAATCGTCATTAAGTTTTAAAATTACGTCCTAATGTCCCAAACTCTAATTAAAATTGTATTTTAGGGGTTTAAAATGACTTATCTTTTTATCGTCCAAACACTCTGCACTAATATTGTATGGTTTTTTTTTTAATAATGCTATATTACAATCCAAACAACGGTGTTACGTAATATACCAGCAAAATGTTCACTAACTTGCCAACCTAACCAAAAGATTTTATTATTCAACAATAATTTAGGCCTTTTCACAATGAATTTTCTTACATGAACTAGAAGTTAATTAAATTTTAAACTAAGAATAAGCTATTGAAAAGTTGAGAATCTCAGCAATTAAAATTAGAAAACAAGCCAGCTGATTTGTGAGATATGAAGTTTTCACGTGAAAGTTAAAGCAGTCACGACTAACTGGCTTCCTGCTTACAGTCCAATCTTACTCAGAATCTTCCTAACTTTGCTGGCATTCATCCCACTCAGTGGAAATTTGTGATATTATTATAAAGAAATATAAAAGTTAGAAACGTTTCTTAGATTGTTTATCTTATTTATTATAAGCATACTTAAATAGGATGATACTTAATGTCTTTTTAGTTAGTAATTTCTTATTTCTGAACCTGAGTATTCATTTCTAAACTTAAACCAAAAATCGTGTTTATTCGTAAACTTGATCAGCTATATAAAAAAATATTTGTTTAAATTGCTGTTAAAACGTTGGTAACATCTAACCATATATTTGAGTAGTAATTGTAAACTCTTTAATTTTCTATGTTTAGAAGTAAACAGTATTTTCTGTAGTTTTATGAGTTATTTATTCGAGCAACTACAAATATTGGAACAAAGTGAAACGTCCACCATTTGGCACAAATAAGCCCTATAAATTCGTCACTAGCCGCAGCAGCCTATTCATTAGGGTCGGCGGTCTCATTTAAAAGGCATAACAATAAACATCTATTGAACAAGGCACAATGGTCCATTAGTATTAAAGCTCCATTGATGTTTTATAGCTTGACAATTGTCACAGTCAGGGATGGATGCCCTCTTGACCTCCCATTTGCTGACTTCAGGCGTGTAATATTGAGAGAAAACAGTTCAACGAATGCTTGAGTGCTTCTCCAAACTTATATAATGATATTCCTCAGTGACGAATGCAGATATTTATTAAGTTTGATTTTGTGTAAAATATTTTTAAATTTATATGTAATAATAACAAAGAACAACACTATCCTACATTTTTTTCAAGAACATGTATAGTTTAACAGATTCCCATGAAAAGTAAGATGATCATTTTCATTTTAAAAGGCTTCACATATGTTCAAAATTTTTAATATTGCTTTAACATGTAAAAGTAATTTCGTCAGTGAGGACGTATATTAAACTATTGTTTAGTGGTATATTTTCAACGTATGACTTCGGATATACGAGTACTATATTAATCTACGTCCTTATGTAATTAACATCATTATAGATGACGAATGATAGACTTTTACGTATGTTTATAACGAAAAACACTCGAGTGCTTTGATGTATCTTTATGTATACTGTTATTTAAGGGACATAACAAGGTATGATACCAAATGTAACGGTCATTGTGTTAACTAGTGCTTGCAATACTTCACAAGCGTTATGGAAAATACTACTGCATTTATAAAACAGACCACAATAGGCACGCGGAAAACATTAGCTTTGTTAATTAGCCTGCTGTTTTGTAGAAACTGTTAATTACAACAGCGACAGTGTAGTAGAACAAATTACGTCAGTTACATTGCACTGGACACCTAAATACGTGAAACACCAACGCGCTGAGTCACTGGCACATACCGAAACGGTGTCGAGGGGCTCTTAACGAGGCCCACGTAAAGCTGCTCCTCTGTAGTAAACCCGCTACTGACTTGTCGCGCGGCCAGAACTGTTTTGTCAAACTAGTTATCAACTAGGCTGTTGATTACTTCCTGTGGACTTGGTTACACTGTAACGTCCGTATCTCACGCAAATGTCTTCCATTGAGTTTGAACACCAGTGGAGTTGAGAGTCGGTGTTATTAGTTGGCTATACTACAATAATACAAAACATACTCAATTTTAATTTTAAATTTACATTTTTGTATTTTTAAAGCGAAGTAAGTCTTGAGGGAATGTTTAATATAAGTAAAATGTAAAAAAAGAACAGAAGAAAATTAAAAAAATATTTGGCTTTGATAAAATATGTATTGACAAATATAAATAGACAAAGCCGTCAAATTTGGAAACCCCCCTACAATTTTGTTTCGATGTACAATGTTTACAATGTTTTTGCGAGCGTAAATATTTATTCTAAAGTATACTTGTTTTGAAATATCATTAAGCATAATTTATTTTAGTAACTTGGATTGAACTTTGGGCTGATTGGCTTCCTAGTTTTTCATTGACTAATAAATCTTTTTGCATTTCGCTTTCAGGTCTGTTGAATTTTTCTACGCATTGTGTACAATGTGAGTTTGGAAACCAGAGCTGTGGTTGTAAACTATAACATATATTCAGTATTTGCAATAGGTATTTGTGTAACTAGTGGGGGATACACTGCAACAGCTGATCGTAGTCGTAGTATCTTAACGTGTTGCCAACTTATTTTCAAGCGTATACGTATTACGTGCCTAATAAAAGCTCGCTGTTTTGTGTTGTTTGGTTGAAATTCTGGTGCGCGAAAAAAAAACTTTATGGCAAAAGTAAGTAGATGCAGCAATTAGTAACTTTCTGTGCTATAGTGCAAGGAAGGTCACTTTGTCAGGTGACTGTAGGAAAAAATTATTTGATGTAATACATAACTTTCAAATACAGTTTTATTTTGGATTCCAAAGTAGCCTTTTGTAATAGAAGTACAAACAATAAAGTGTAAAAATCGTTAAGTCATGTTTGATGGTTTTCTGATACATATATCGAATAGTGCTATACACAGGATTTACGCACTGATATGTACATTTTGGGGAGTGTAGCTCATGGGTTATTGGGTTATTATTAGCCTGTTTAAGAAGAGAAACTACTGTAGCAACAGCCTAGTTGATAACTAGTTTGACAAAACAGATCGTGGGACAAGTTATGGTCAAATAACGTAACAAAACTAACTATTGATTTAAGGATTTAAATGTTATATTTATGATGAACAAAAACACAACTTCTGAAAGAAAACTTTGTTAACTGGTGGAGTAAAAAGTTGGTCCTTTCTACGGACGCGACGAGGAAGTTTGATTGTTTTCCAAACAGCTTCTCTTGACCTTTACATTGGGGCAGGCCTAACATTAAAACCTCCGTATGGAAAAAATATTAAACTATCTCTTGATTTGGGGCTATCTCGCTCAGTTGAGGACTTGACTGAAAATAATTTTTTCTTAGGGAAACCTTCACCCACACTGTTTAGATTTATAAACATCAAACTATTGGTATGTATCATTTTCATAATTACCATAATTATTATGATTTTATATACTATTTTATGTGTTAAACATAAATTTATTATGTTATGTCTAATAAATCTAATTATGTTTAACATAATTAGTTATGAAACAACTGAGTTAGTAAGGATTGCAAAACCTTAAAAAGATAATTCATTGAAAATCTCACTAACTTGTATGAGGATTTTTTGCTTAAAAGGATAGTTGTGCAGGTAGTTTAAACATTTTACTTGCAAAATACCTAAACAAACAGTTTTAATACAAACAACGTATTACAAATATTTTATACACAAATAAAAGTAAATAGCATTCTTAAGGTATCGTTTATCTGCAAAGAAAATTTAAATATATTGTACCATTAATTAACACACCCTAAACCTTAATATTCTACGTGAGCTATACAAAACGAGAAACAACCATTTAATAATATATTGCATAAAATGTATGGAGCCTCTAATGATGTCTGTTATATTTCAGTTTTGAAAAAACATATTTTTCTGAAATCAAGTTATTTACTGATGATAAATGAATGGAGGCTTTATAGTAATTGCTTCTATAATGGCCAATCTCATGAAGCGCCAAGTCAGTAGTTCCCACAATCGATCCAAGTTGAGGCAAGTTGGGATGTTTTGTTGACATTATTGCCTCTAATCCACACCTCTTCAAAACAATTACAACACTCATGGAGTTCAGATTAATTTTATAATGTTATTATTTCTTGCTTTTTTTATATTTTGCTCAAGACAAAATATCAAAGTGAAAACCTATAATCAACAAGCACCCTGGTTACTAAAATAATTATGAATTGCGTACCAGTGTTAAAGGTTTAAGGTATTTTATAGCTACCATTCATATAACTTAATACTGCATTGTCCAGCAACACAAACTACAGAGTAAGGTTTGACAGTTGTACCAACCTTTACAACTTCCAGGGAAGAGTTGTCATCATTCCACCTGAAACAATTAAAATTAACAACTTTACCAAGATTGTAAACTCAACCAATGGAAATACAACTACCTATATACTGACCAATACATACGAGAAAGAGGCATACAGTGATGTTTGTTTTACCTTTTTTTATAACTTACATTAAAACTTCTGGTTGACTTAATTTACTAGGTATATTTCACTCCATAACTTCAGCTAATAAGGCTAGTAAGATGCTAATAGTAGTTTTAATTTGCTTGAGCCTTCACAAAATGTACATTTTAAGTCCTTATTGCTGAATTACCTTACACACTTAAACCCAATCAAGAAAAAAAACGAAGAGGTATATTTTTTATCATCATCCTCCTAAACACAAAATAGAGTAAAAAACCATAGGTACATTGATGTAACTTGTGTTTGATACGTAAATATGTGTAAAGTTGCTAATTTAAGCATTGCATGCTTAGCAAATGTTCTTATTATTTAAAACTTGAAATTAAGCTAAATAAGCTAATTTGGGGTACGGTATTGTGCCTTTCCGAATTTTAACAAAATTGTCATCCAATTTTTTAAAGTGTGTGTTTTTAAAAGTCCCAAATCAGATGAGAGGCCGTAAAAAGGTATTTATGGCATCATATTACGAATGCTTAACCAAATGCTGACCCAGCCTACAGTTTTATTCCCTCTGTGGTTCAGCGGCGTCGACAGGTCCGCAGCAGCCACAGCCACTCTGGTCCTCTTGTCCTCACTGGCCATACTACTTGTCTTGCATTATACATCGCAGTGACACTGTTAGTGGTTATGGCCCCAGACCAGTTCCACATACTGTCAATGGTTCCAACAAGTGGTCACTGGTCAATACTGCCTCACTGCTATTTCTGTAACTGTTCTTTTGTAACTACGTCATGACTTGTTGAAACCTTGTTCCACCTAAATAAACTGTACTGCTTCATAAGCCATACCATGGACAGCTTGAGTCCTGTGTGGTACTAAGTCTTTTACTGTACATTGTTAGGATCACATACGGGGTTTTATCGTCAATGCACTCTATGCTCTTTGTATTTCCTTGTAATTATGATGAGTGAGTTACTCATCATTGGCTTATAGCTCCTTGCATTTGTCTTCGTGAAAGGAGGGGTTTCTATTTATTATTACAGACTTTATCTAAAGTAAAGGCAAATTAACGCGAGGACATTCTACTGAAGGTTCGTTTACGTATAAAGACATCCTCGATGTTCTGTATTATCGTTGAAAAACGTCCTAAACGAAAATATCTTTAAAAATATATGAAAATATAGATAAGGGGATTATTAAGAGTCAGCGCATTAAAAATGTACGAGGTCTTATAGGGGCTTAGACCACCAAGTTTTTGCTAACCCAATGTTAATTCAATATGTTATATTTTATAACATGAACGAGTACTATGTAAGAGAATCAAACTATCCAACCCCATGTGTTCGTGCATTATTAGTATCAATATCAATGGAGCAATCATGTGTTGAATGTACTGCTACGCTGTTTGTTGGTTGAATACAAATGTGTATAGTGAATACAAGGTAAAGGATCAACTGATAAACTACGGTACGGAGTTTATTTCGTTGTTTATTAGTATCAAGTCGTTATCTTAGACAAAAGCTAGATTAGATTTGAAACAGTCTGATACTCTAACCATGACATAATACTTTATTTTACTGTTTGAACTTAACTTAAAAAAATATATTAATGTAATTATTTGAAAAAGGGGTTTCAACTGTAAATTACCTGTTTACACAATCCAAATTGTTTAGTGTAATAGGTTAATAAATTATATTATAGTTATAATAATTGGATGGATCGACTTTTCTAATAAGCTGGATAGTATTGAAACCGGTAAAGTTTTTGAAAACTTTACGATAATTGATTATTTTTACCTTTACAAGAAAGAGCTGTAAATAATTTGAACTTCTGCTCTATCATTCTAAACGCAGAGTTCTCCAGCAGTACCGCAAGGCTTTAAATCACATGCTCAATACAAACAGTCACTGCAGCATATTATCTTCTCCGGCATAAACGTCAGACACAAGCTCAATACCGCAGACGTCTACCAATACAATACTACAAAGTCGAGGGCAGTGACCGAGGTAAAGTTATGACCAATAAAACAATAGTTTGTCTTCGTCACAAAGCAATAACATGCAAGCATGGCTCTGTCGTCACGCGTTAGCAAAACCTCCGAATATCGTTGTGTGTCAGTTATGAGGTTGTACGATATATTTGTGATAGGACTCGGTGTGCTCCTGCCGAGTCTAGGTTTGTGAATGAGTTAAAGGCGAAGTGACATATCGAGCCTACAATCTGCATTTATTTGTAAAGCTACAGGACCTTCATTATGTATCTGCAATCTGCGTTTTTGTTTCGTTGGTATTTATTTTATAAGTAGACGTAAAACAACGTTGTTGTTGTTGTTGTTGTTGTTGTTGTTTTTTATTTTATTTTATTGAAATTATTACAATATTAGTTATTTAAAGAGCAAACACGTGTTGAATGTACTGCTACACGTTAGCGTTTTCTGGTTGATACAAATGTGTATATTGAAGGGAGTAGAGGGCCATCTTGTGATCTAAAGATCTAACAGTTGTCATTAAATAAATTGTGTTTGGTATTACAAACATATACAGTAGCACACTTCTAACTATTATTCACCGAGTTATTCAGTTATTCACCGTTATTCTAAAAAAATACTTACTGCAAATAAAAATGTAATTAATTGTCCATTACTTATTCCTCCTGCAGGTCTCTGTTATGCTCATTTGGAAGTAATTCCGTAATAATGAATATAAATGCATAGTAAAATATAAATACAATAACTACTCACAGGTAGAATTGCACCGCATGAACGACACAACCAATACAATAACATCGATACCCGTGATTGCGGTAAATGTGACAGGGAAATTACATTATCGGGTTTTGCTCTGGGAAGCCTGGAACGTATTGTTTCAAATATGTCATGAGACCCAACCCGCTATCAATATTACTGTTCGTTGTTCGGCTGGATTCAAGTCAACTCCATCATATCCCTAAAATAGACCTATGTCAAATAAACTCATTATATGTACAGCATAATTATTTTTTTCAATGATTTTGTTTAGTTAAACGTTTATTTTAATGAATTGCTTTGTGATTTTTTGCTTTATTTATTTAATTCGGTTTGGTTACTGATCTAAAGTATCTAATTGCGAAAGCTGCAGATGCTATAATAAACGTCACATTATACTTACAGTATTACAACAAGAATCAAGTAATTATATTCATCGGACAGGAAAGGTCGTAGACTTAGTTGGCTTAACAAACTGCATTGTTTGTAAGATTTCAGTAAGATAGCTTCCCATAACTTCTTGAGAAATAAGGCAATATGGAAACCAATACCAGCGCCTCACACGCATGTGCATGCATGTCATCTCTCGCACGACCATGTGCAATCACGGCTGCATGACATGTCGGTTTTTGTCACATTTTCAACATGTTTGTTCAAGTTTTAGTATGTTTGTTCATGTAATTAGAAAACGTGACATAACTCGACATTGACAACGCAATATCGAATCAGCAAACAATGTGATTCGATTTAGAATTTGTTTATGATAATCATGTGTGCCTAACTGTCGTAAAACGAGAATCGTCTGGCTATCCCTGAACTGTTGGAGCATTTTTAACTGAACTTCAATTAATCCCGTCGTACGTGTTCACCAGTTTTTTCTTAGGATTTAAATAAATGCTAACTTCATACATAAATTGTTAAAATAAACGTTATGTACAAGGTGCTTTTTTTCACGGAACCCATATTACAATACTATGAGATAGGCCTACTGGTTAAGGACAAAACCAGCTGATATGTTGGTGGGATTGTTTTTTTAATTTCATAGCTGATCAGCTTATACATGTTGTTGCATAATGTAGATGAGACTCAACTCGCAAACTCACGTCGAGTGCGTATTTTAGTTCAAGGTTTTTGTTTAGTTTTCTACCGATCCGGTTTCCTTTAATATTTAATACGTTCTGTAAATAGTTGATTTCATAGGTACTGGAATAACTCTTAGAAACTCAATTTCAAACCTTTCTTGGCATTAAAACCAATGATTTACTTATATCACATTTTTCTTCAATGCATACTCTTTGAGCTTGCGAAAACACCATGTTGAGACTTATTTTACAAAAAATTCCCAATAACATTAAATCTCATAGAACTATGCAACAATGCATTGGCAAGCTGATTGGCAATGAAGTAAAGAAGACAGGGATACCAACATGTGAACTTGTTTTGGCCTTAAAAGAATATTACTGTACTTGTGTTTGGGGTTGCGTTAAAACATCTTAACACAATTTAAATTAACTTATTTTCAACTTTCTACTACATCGCCACTGACAATAGGTTTGATTTTCTGTCCCACGTTATGAAGCAGTATTTTCTCTAGAAATGCACCTCGTGGATACACAGGCCGAATTACTTATTTTATGACAAGTGCTTGTTCAAGGCTTAACATAAAGTTGATTGTTTCTGTTTTATCGCACTAATGCAATAACTGTTTTACTGAGCGGTGGTCGGCCAGGGCCAAGTTTATCACCATTGCATTGGTTGGATTGAAAATATATTTCATCTTCGCAAACGATAAACTGTTTTCATACAATTTTGTAAAGTAATAAATTTGAGTAAACTAAATTTCGTAAGTAGGTTTGGCCATTTTTCTCTATTAGCCGTTGTTTACTTTTAAACCGTGGCAATGAATTAGATAAATTTGGAAATTCATTATGGTAGTTTTAAATGTTTTACAAAATCCGCATTGTTTAATGATATGGCCTAACTAGCACATTGATTAAAAAAATGTTGAGAAGTTAAAGAAGGTTTTTATAGAGTGCTTTTCAACGTTCACCGGTTGTTAAGCTATTTAACTTCCCACACGAAATTCTTTATGATATAAGATAGTGTGTGGACAAACTGACGAACAACATCAAAAGAAAACCAGCTGAGTAAAATTGTTCATGAGTTTTC